CCTTTCCCCCCCCCCCCCCCCCCCCCCCCACCTGTAGCTACCATTTTCCCGCATTACTGTTGGCCACTCCCACACCAGATGGCTCCCAGCTGCATGGCTGGACTGTGGGAGCATGGGACCTGCACTGGTACCCCTACAAACACATGTAAATCGGGACAAAAATATTTTTTTAAATCCAGTTAACGAATGTTGTAGATGTTTGATTTTTAGAATACAATTTGGTATTTTTCTGGTTCCAAGCTGGCAAAACCCCTTGCTGAAATGAGTACTTCCAGAGACAAGGGGGGCAACTTCTGGTGGCAAATTTCAGGAATTATAGGGTGGGACTTCTGGTCACAAGGTGGCAACCAGGGGGCAGGGCACGTGTCATGGCACGGGGCTACCCATGCAACCTTTGACAGCTTACCAAAACTCAGTAAGCAGTCCTCCAGCTAAAATAATTGCCCACCCCTGTGCTACAGCTTTCTAATTAGAGTGTGATGCAGACTCAGTTAATCAAGTCTACTCTGAAGCAGTCTAATTAGAATGCATCAGAGCACTTTTAGGTACCCAAAGTGACTAAATTAAGATGAACCAGGAAAGTGTAGGTTGAGCATTTTCTAATTTATATAATCTGTTTTGCAACCTGACATTCTTTTATAACATTAATTTGTATTCAGTGTGTGTGAAAGTTGTGGATATTTTACAGTGAGCTTTAGTGGGCTGAATAGTTTAGCTACATCGTCTGCATAAGTTCTTCCTAAATTAAACATCAGATGGATGTAAATAGAACAAATATAACATGTATCCTTGACTTCATTTTCTTGTTTATATGAGTTAAAAGTTTGACTTATGCTACCATCATAGTGTGGGAGTGGGGACAATGGGATGGTTTTAAAAATAATCATGACATGATTTTTGGAATATAAACATATGAATGTCTTTCTGAAAGAGAAATATTGGGCACCCATCCCTGAGCAGCAAGGCTGCCCGGATACACTGTAGTTATAGCACGTTGGAGCAGACTTGATTAATTGAGTCTGCTGGAGTTCGAGCTTTAGTTAAAAAGTGAGTCCAACGAGCTTTAGTTAAAGCATCCCCACTGCCATTTTTAAGCGCAGAGATCCTGATACACAAGATGCTCCGGATGCTTTAGAGTGGCTGTCATGGCTCCCACCTTCAAAAAAGGGAGGAAGGAGGACCC